TTCTATCCTTCTCACTTTGAATTTCCATCTTGTGTTGAGATCTTCCTTGTTTCCTTGGCATGCATATTGCGTTATTTGTGGCTATTTATACTTGTGTATGTGGTTGGGGCTCTGGGGATTTATCTTTTGTCCTCCTCTTAGTTTACCTAAGAGTGGTGGATATAGGGCTTTAATACTCAATCTTGGTTTGAGGAGTAACACTGGTCACATCTGTCTCTTGTTGTGTTCACGGTGATCCGTAATCTGTGTTTATGTTGTCTTCACTGCTCTCCAACCTCCATTTGTTCCTCTTTTCTGGGGATCTGTGCTGTTTTGGCCTCCCAGTGGAAAGGGCAACAGCATCTGGATCTTCAGCCTCTTTATTCTGTCATGTTTTAGGTGGAGTCAAAAGAACCCTCTTGTGGTGTGGGTACAAGAAGGGAAGTCTGAGAGGTTCAAAGATAGGCTGACAGAAGTGTCCTGACAAAAAGACTTACGGTTGTAAACCAGGAAAATTATTGGAGTAAAAATTTAATCCTAACAATGATTTTCAAAATTATAATAAAATACACATAACATAAAGTTTACCACCCTTCCCATTTGTGAGTATGCAGTGCAGTAATGTTATGTACCTCCAATATCCAGAGATGTTTCATCTTCCCAAACTGAAACTCTGTCCCTATTAAATAATTCCCTATCTCCTGTCCCTGGCACCCACCATTCTGTTTTCTGTCATCATGAATTTGACTCCTCCAGGAACCCCCATGTAGCTGGGAATCTTCGTATTTTTTTCTTTTGTGATAGGTTTATTTAACTGAGCTTAATTTCCTGAAACTCTATTCATGTTGTAGATTTTTTCTGAATTGCCTTCCTTTTTAAGCTGAATAGTATGCCTAGCATGATTTGCCTTCTCCTATGATGTGCAGTATAATAGTATTTTTCCTTTTGGTTCTCAACATACTTTTCCTCACAGAACACTGGGAGGTTGCTTTGTTGGCATACATATTTTAAATATCTACAAATAAGAAGAGCAGTTTGCTAAATTTTGAGAATACAGGCATCTATAATAGAGCATCGGCTACTTCCTCTAGATATTAAAAATTATTTGAAGAAATGAGAGTACCTAGATTGCTACAGAGAGAGACTAATCCCAATATCATGGCCCTTTCAGTCCAGTATCTCCATCTGGGGTCTATGTGCTCATGGACAGATACAGAGCCCTTGAATCCTAAGTACCTCAGGTGTCCTTTTCAGTGTCAACATCTTTCATGTGTACTTCTCAGAACATACAAATATTATTCTGAATTGAAATAAAAGCACAGTCATCAATCTATCAACATGTGTATTACACATATCAGTTCCTTTTATCAAATGATTTAAAAATTAGAACTAAAAGCAAATGCCGTTTTAATGTTAAGAAGGGGCTTCTGTTCTAAAGAGATGTTGTTAGTTATTAATATACATTCTCATAATTTTGTTACAGGGCAGGGTGAAGGGCACCCCAGAACCCCCAAAGCTGCCTGCTGTAAATAGGTTCTGCCATCCGCTGCATCAAGTCAAAACATATAGACCTTTAATGAAAAGAAACTTTAATACAATTAGTGTGCAGTACAAAAAAGGGCAAAGAATATAGTTTCTAAATCAAGCACACAAAGTTACCCATCCCCTCATGAATATAAAAAGTCCATACAAACATGATTGGCCCAGAGCAGGGCCTGAAAGCCTGCCATAAGTTTAAAGTTCCTTCTGGGTCATGGTCAAAATGGACAGACAAGTCTGGGTTAAAAAAGAGCAAAATCAAGATAAAAGTTGCCATTGTTAACCTCCCCAATGGGTCTCTCACCCACATCTGTTTCAACCAGTCCATGACCAAAAGGCAAACACAGTTTCTTCACATGTCTCTCTGTTCCATGTGCCTCCTCCAGGTCGTCTTCTTGCTCTCCATCCTGCTTCCTTAGTTCCTCAGTCTCCTCTCCAGCTTCTTCTCCCTGCTTAGCTCCACCCTCCCTTGGGTGGGGCAGGGAACCTGGAACCTCCCCTTTTCCTGGGTACCACCCTGTTACAATTTCACTTGACTGGCCCCTGGGGACACTTAAGCTGTTGTGATGCTTCTGAGTGCTTTCAGTGGTTGGCCAGTGGGGAGACCACTGGTTTTAGCCACTTGTCTCCTGAGGCTTGGAGTGTCCAAAGAATTCTCAGAAGTTGTGGTTTTAAAGTGGATCTTCAAGAGAGCAGAGATACAAGGCAGAGAGTATGAGGAGTCAAAGGCAAGGGGGTTCTTGCTGAATTTTTAGGATTTACTGCTAGTTGAGAGGGGGAGAGTGGAAATTGGTTCAGGATTGGAGGGGTCAGTGCAGAACTCTGATCTTAAGGCTCTTCTGGTGATTTGGAGGTCAGTTCTAGCCCCACACAGGACAGGTGTCTGATGATTTGGAGTCACAGGCTCAGATGTATGTACACAGCCTGTTTTTGCTGTGAAAGCATTCAGAGACTTAGATATTTTTGCTTCATTCATTTTTTCCCCAAAAAATCAGAAATGTATTTTGTTAGTGTAAAATGTAGTTTTTCTATTGCTGGTTTAAACTTGCACATACCTGCATAGGCACACATACACTGATCAAAAAACAAGGAGGCCCCCCAGTGTCCTGTGGCCTGCTAGATTGCATTATAGGCCGATTGCAGATGTAGTCAAAGAGTGCTGTATACACAGACAGGCTTGAGCTGCACAGCACTCAAAGTCAGCTTTCAGCAAATATTTGTGGAGTGAAGAAGTTTCAGTGGGCTGAGAATTGAGGAACAGGAGGCAAGAGTATAGGAAAAGGCTGCATTGTGTAAACCTGAGCACAAATTGGGGGAGGAGAGAGTGGATGGAAATGACATCACAAGCAGAGTCTGGGTTGTTGGGGGACATTATTTATTTGAGAAAGATGAGAAAAAAGTGGAAACTTCTGCCTACCCTTCTTGCCCCTACCAGTGCTGACTGGACTGTGCACAGCTGCCTCTTTTCTCAATTCCCTTCTGATGGAAGTCAAGTCAGTTTTGTTAATATGCAGAAATAAAAATAGAGTTCCTTTCATTTTCAAAAAATGATAAACACATTTCTTTTTTTGAAATGACCTTTGAGTGATCATGCTATTAGCAAGTGGTCTTCTAGCCTCAGATTTGGCTTGATCAGCTAAGGACTTGATCATCTATTTCTCTGTATCTGGACTTTACATTTACACAATGGAGTGACATCTATTCTTCCCCTCAGAAAGTGAATAATAAAGCAGTGGGTAAAATTTCAGGCTCTGGAATCAAATTTTCTGAGTTTGATGTGAATTCTGCCACTCTGTGAGCTTGAAAATCTGTGCCTACTCTTTATCTGTAAAGCAGGAATGATGATACCTCCTCAGCATATTACTGTTAGAAATAAATGAATGAAGAATAAAAATGTAAAAAAATATGATCTAAGGCTTTTTTTTTAAAGATTTATTTATTTTATTTATACAAGCATTGGATACAGTCAGATGTGTGGGAGGGTGACAGGATTCACCAGAGACAAAGTGGACAGCAGAACAGGCAGACCAAGGAAATACACTGCTGAGGGGAGCAGCTGGCGCTGGAGGAGAGGTCTGCATGCCATGTGGGGCCCTTGCTGGTGGCCGGGGATCAAACCAGCACTGCAGAGGCTATGGGCAGCTTCGCAACCCAGCGCTCAACCGCTGTGCCACCGGGGAGGCCCATGTAAGGCTTTCAACAAGGAAAAACTGAAAATTAATTTATGTCAACTTACCATAGTAGAGGATGAGACCTGTATGTCATCCCTAAATCTGATGTTAACCAGAGACCGAGTGGTGGTAGGTTGCGATCTCATCTGAAGATCTTCAAGGACCCTTGTCTTTTTGGGGATCCTCTAGGTATAGTACAATAGAAAGAGGTAGGATAGGGTGGTAGGTTGGAGAAAGTCCTTTGGAGTGAGTGAGTCATTTTTCTGCTCCAACACCTATCTGCATGCCTTCAGGGGAGCTGTCTGGCTCTGGCAGTCAGTCTTCTCAAATGCAAAATATTTTGAGGACTAAATGAGATGAACTTTCTAAGGTTATTTTGAGCATAGTTTCTGACACAAAGTACATGCTAACAATTAGTGTAAAATACCCAGGGCCTAAATGAAATAAGGCCCTTATATATAAATAAGTGTACATGTAGATAAGTATATAAGTGCATTTACGTATACATTCATACATATTCATACACACACGTATATAAATGAATTATCTATATTAGTTAAAATCACTTGCCTCCATTGAATAATCTGGAAAAGACAAGAATTTCTAAAAATGTTCATCAGAGTAGGTGATTTATTGTCAAGTGTTTAGAATTCTCCTACAAAGTAAATTGAGAATTCAAAGTAGAGCCAGATATAAGGTGAAAACAGAGAGAAAAGACTGTTACCCATATCCCTTATCAGACAGTGCCAACAGGGCCTGTGTCAGTGGGTATTGGTCTGATGTACTTGCTGGCTAACTTAGTAAGCAGTATAACTCCAGCACTCCCTCAGTATCCTGGACCCATGGATACTGGATCCTTCAGGTGGTCATAATTTCAGAGAAGAATTTAAGTCTTAAAGCAGACCATAGAGGAATCTGCATAATTAATTGAGATTTGTAGCCCATTCAGTGATTCAGAAAGGGCTGCGCCAAGCAAATATTGCTACACCAACTTGTATTTTTATCTGAAAAAAAATATGCCACTCCTAGAGGGTAAATATGTGTTTAGGTTGTTTCTAAAAATGCTTCCTGTCAAAAAAAGCTGCCTATATTTTTCTTAGTTGTCCATTTTCTGTGGTATTGAAGAGTGCCAAGATAGTGATTTTAAAAAGGTCAAGCAACTGAGAAGGCATTTCTGAGTAGAGATAAATACTTCTAAGAATGAAATATTCCGAGGAAAGTACTTAAAAGCTGGCAGATATTAGCAGATGATTGTATTAACCACATAACTTGAGCTACCACTTCATTCAGTCCTGTGTTGTCACTTTTAAGGAAGAAAATGAAGGCTCGTGCTCCCCCACCTCCTGGGAAGCCTGCTTCCCCGAATGTGCACAGTGAGCAGAAACTGCCCCGAGATGTGTCCCCTGGTCCCCAGCAGAACCTGCTCACGATGAAGGAGCAGCTGCAGAAAAGTATGGTGGACATCACCGTGGTGCTGCCCAGTGGGATGGAGAAGAAGAGCACAGTCAATGGCAGGTAGGAGTCTGAGTGCTTCAGGGAAGGATCACTGCCCTCAGTTTGTAGCTCTGAAGAGAACTGAAGAGTGGATCCTGGTGTATTGTACTTCTTCATATGTCAGGTCATGTCAGGTCCTGGTGTGTGGGGTGTAAGCCTGGGCTCTAGATGACAACCTGAAGTATGGTCCTTGGAATAGCTGTGCTGACTGGCCCTCATGTCTTGCCCATGAGAGACAGGACTGCACAGTCACTACTGCTAGAAAAAGGTAAGTGCACAGGCTCATGAACAACTCCAAAGAAGGGGCCAGCCTCCATTCTAGCCATATATGTGGTGCCAAAGTCATAGAGCCAGCAGGGAAGCTTCTGAATGAACCATTCAAGTACCCACTCCCAGAATGACCCAAGGAAGTATAAATACAGTTGGCAGTTTTTCAAGTGAAAATAATTCAAGTTTAAATGAAGGCATAAAATCCCATCCATGGATTTTAAATTTAAGGGAATCAGTTTCAGACCCATGACTTCCACCTGCATTCTCTTAGATCTAATCTATTTTGTAATAACTGAGTCCGCAGGGTGAGACAATAAGCCATTGAAGGGTCCAATAGATAAGTTAGGGTTAGTCTGGTTCCTACTGAGGCAACTCTTATTTCCCTCCTCTCTGGAGTTTGGGATAAGAAATTCAGCTGTCCCCATGCTCTCAGTATGCACCTGAAAAGGTAAGCACCCTCCTAGGAGGAGTGCAGAAGGCACCATGAAATATTGTCAGAGAGTAAAGGCTTGCATTACCAATAGAATTTATAATTTTATATTTGGTATTTATTAAAACATCATAATTATGTTGTTTGATGTGTTTTGTACTATTACAGTTACTACCTCTGACTTCTTTCACTCATTTTGCTCTCTCCCCTACCACAACTCTGGCATCTGCCTCTCTATTCTCTGTATCTGTGAATCAGTGCACTAATCTTTTTTTTTTCTTTTTAGAATCCACGTGTAAGTAAGATCATATGATATTTGTGTTTCTGTATTTGACTTATGTCACTTAACATAACGCCATCAAGGTCTAGCCATGTTGTTGCAAATGGCAAGATTTCCTTCTCATTTATGGCTGAATAGAGTTGTGTTGTATAGCTGTACCACATTTTCTTTATCCACTTATCCATCATTGGATGCAAAGGTTGTTTCTATGTCTTGACTATTTAAAATAATGCTTCAGGAGAGCTGGACAGCCCCCAGCATCCATCACCAGTCATGAAAACCCAATCTCCAGCTGCCAGCTGTGTCAGGAAGAGGTAGGGCGCTCCCAGCCTCCAGTTGTCAATCTGCCACTTCAGCCTCCTGCCACCAGCCGAAAGAGTCCTGCCTTCATTCATTGGGTGCATGAGTGAGAGTGAGGCAGCTCCTGGCGCCCAGTAGCCAGCTAGAGAGCCCAGCCTAAAGCTACCAGCCATTAGCCACCAACTCATGTACTAGAGCCATGATCTTTCTGACCTCCAGTTACCAGCTGCAGAAGCCTGACCTTTAGCTAGGAGAGCACTGCTACTTTTTGCCTCTAGCACCAGCAATGGCAGCCCAGATGCCAGCTAGAGAGCTAATGACAGGGCCTGGATTCTGCGGGTTGCTACTCTTGGAACAGCGAAACAGAGTGACACAGGTCTGAGAAATCGTCCTTTAGGTAGCAATGGGGTTGATTATCGTTTGGACAGCAAAGACCAGTGCAGACTTAAACATGTTGTATACTGAAGAGTTTCACATTACATTGAACAGGTAGATAGAAGAACTGAGGCTTGTGGTCTGGAGAGGGCGACAGTAGCAGGGGTGTTGATGTAGCCATGGAACTTGGGAAGGAGGGGGCAGAGGTTATTTAGAGGCACATGCCCATGAGGGAGGGGAAAGCCTTATGGAGGGGCTGGGGTGCTGCACACAGGCTGGGTTCCAGTAGAGATAATAGAACACACATTCTGATCTGCACTCCTCCTTTCCACCTCCTGGGAGGGTGCTTACCTTGCCAGGCACATACTGAGAGCATAGGACAGCTGAAGTTCTCATCCCAAACTCCAGAGCAGAGTTTGTCTTAATAGAAACCAGACTAACCCTAACTGATCCTTACTAATGTTTGGACCCTTCAATGGCTTTTTATTCACCCTGCTGACTCAGTCATTACAAAACAGATCCCAGTACATATAAAACCCATCAAAAGCAAAATAAAAATAAACAAATCCATATTACCACTTGCAGAAAAAGTGAACTAGTTTAACCTTTTAAGCAACTGATGAAGTTATTAAAAATGATAGTAAAATAGGGAGACCTCAACTAGCACAAAATGGGCAGACAAAAACAAAATACAACATAGGCAAATACAAGACTTCAGGAGAGCATAACATCACAAGATGAGAACAACGCTCCAAAATCCAAACACAAAAACATGGAAGACTATGTCTTCCTATCAGATAGATTGCTCAGAGCTGCTATATTAAAAAAAGAGAGATAGAAGAAAAACTTAGAAAGCAAGTGAAAGAAGTACAAGAGAATTCAGTAAAATAAAGCAAAGAAATACAACAAAATTGAGGAAAATACACTAATGAACTCAGAAATAAAATCAACAAACAGAATATGGAAATTGAAAATTTAAACAAGAGATAAATTCAGGAACCAAAGAGTGCAATAAATGTGATCAAGAACTCTTGAAAAAACTACGGGAGTAGAAGTAGAATAGATCAAATGGAGGGTTAAACTAATCTCAAAGATAGTAATGCACTAAGAACCCAGGTAGAAAAAAAGAAACAACATGTTTTAAAAAACAGACAATTCGAGAACTATCCAACACCATTTAGAAAGTCAGCATAAGAATAATGGTTATTCCAGAGGGGAAGGAGGGAGTATAATAGAGAATTGTGTCTGAGAATTCCTCTGAGAGGATTTTTAGAGCAGAGAAAATACTCTATATACTGTAACAGTTGATATATATCATACATTTGTTCAGACACATAGAATGAGTGAATTCTAATATAAACTACAGACTTCAGTGACAACGCCATGTCAGTGTAGGTTCATGGACAGTGACACAAGCCCCATTATGTTGCTGTTGGTAACATGGGAGGCATGCATGTGTAGGGGCAGAGGGTGCATAGGAAAACTCTAAACCTTCCCCTCAATTGTACTATGAACCTGAAACTTCTCTAAAAATATAAAGTCTTTAAATAAAATATTATTTAAGTGAAAATACAAATAAAACTAAGGTTTTTAAAAACAATAAATGAATGTAGCAAAGGTTAGAAAATCAATATACAAAACCCCATAGCCTTTTTTTTAATACAAACAATAAATAAGAAGCCAAAGAAATTAAGAAAATAATTCATTTTATAGTTGCTTTAAAGAGAATTATGTGTCTTGGAGTCAGTCTAACAAAGTACATAAAAGACCTATGCAAAGGGAAATAAGATATTTTTAAAGGACTTAGATATAAACATAAGGAGATGGATGGCTGCTGTACTCATGGATGGGGAGAATCAATATAATAAAAATATGCTGCATAGAGTGATATAAAAATTAATGAAATACCCATCAAAATATGACAATATTTTTCAAAGAAACTAACCAAAAATAGTGCAATTTATATGGAAACACAAAAGGCCTCAAATTGCAAAAGCAACTCTATAGGAAAAAAAGGAGAAAAAGGATATTTTACATTACCTGATTTCAAATTTTGCTATAAAGCAACAGTATCAGAAACAACATGACTTGGTGCAAAAACAGATACAGGGGGCCTCCCCAGTGGCGCAGCAGTTGAGCGCTGTGTTGCGAAGCTGCCCGCAGCCTCTGCAGCACCAGTTCGATCCCTGGCCACCAGGTGAGGGTCCCACATGGCGCGCAGACCTCTCCTGCCGCCCGCTGCTCCCCTCAGCATTGTACTTCGGTCCTTCTGCCTGCTCTGCTCCCCGCTCTGACTCTGGTGAATTCTCTTGCCCTCCCGCGCTTCTAACTATACCCAGTGCTTGTATAAATAAATAAATTAATTAATTAAAAAAAAAAAAAAAACAGATACAGGGACCAATGGAAAAGAATTGCAAGCCCAGAAATAAATTCACACATGTGCCAACACCTAATCCATGTTAAAGCATCCATGACCATACAATGGGGAAAGTGCAGTCTATTTGATAAATAGTGCTTGAAAAATTGAGTACCACACATGAAAGAATGAAGTGGGACTACTGACTAACACCATACACAGAAATAAACTCCAGAAAGATTAAAGATTTAGATGTAAGGCCTGCAACAATACATAGAAGGAAACACATGGTGACATATTCCTTGGTATTAACTACAAAGTTATTTTTGTGACTCAAAACCTATATCAAGCAAAAGAAAACAAAAGATGTTAGATACCTTACTGAATAAGAGAAAATATTCACACAACATATAACTAATAAGGGATTAATATCCACAATATATAAATATCTCAAAAAATTCAACAATAAAAAACCCAGTAACCCAATTAACAAGGGGGTGGCAGATATAAGCAGATTATTCACCAAATATCATATCCAGAAAGCCAAAAGCCATGAAAAAATGTTTATTGTCACTTCTAACAACAGAGATGTTGATTAAAACTGCAATGAGATACCATCTGACTCATATGAGAAAGACTCCTAACAAGTGTTGGAGAGAATGTGGAGAGAAAGGAATCCTATTACACTATTAATGGTAATGTGAACTGGTACAACCATTATGAAAAGCAATCTGGATTTACTTTCAAGTGGAAATGCCATAAAACCTGGCAATTCAAGTCTTAGATATATATCCATTAATATGAAACCATCAACCAAAAAATTTATGTTCCAGAATATTCATATGTTTTACAATGGCTAGAACACAGAAGCAGTGTAAATGTCCATTGATGGAAGATCAGATCAAGATCACATAAGAAAGGATGAAATGAAGTCATTTTCAACAAAATGGAAGGAATTTGAGATAACTATGATAAAGTAAATCAGAATGATGAAAAAATACTGGAAAGTTATAGCACAGACAATTCAATAATATAAGAGCACCTTCAAAAACTAGAGGACATTAGTAAACATCCTGAGGGCTCTGAAGTTAAGAGAGAGGGACAAGGGGACACAAGGGTAAGTGGTGGGGGGAAAAGGAGAGGCAACTAGGGTATGTTGAATGGAACAGTGAAAAAAATTAATTGAAAAACTCTGCACATTATTTTTTCTACTGTTTAAACATGGGGCTATGTAGTACTAGAGAGTTTGGAATCCACAAACAGAGTCAAAAACCAAGTTTGCAAGATTCTGAGCCATTCAGAACACAAAAGTGAAGTATGTAGCTTAGTACATTATGTCATGCAGACTGTAGAAATATATATATATATATATATATATACATATATAGCTTTTTATCTGTTAATCAAACCTCAATGAAATGTTTTGTCATGCAACTGAAAGTTGCACTAAAATTATAAAAACAGAAATTTAGGAACACAACATATTCACTGATAAAACTTCACACATCTGTTAAAACAGTTTTTTAAACTATAATAACATGGCACACTTCTTAAGCTATAAAGTTAAATGCAGAAAGTATACAGAGAACAAAAATCACTCTATAAAACCAAAATGGGAATTCTTGCAACTTGAACATCTCTTGCCTGCATCCTGGAAACGATGTCAAGGTAAATACTGCAGACTGGGTTTCCATGAACCATGAGGCTGCTAGCCAAGTCATGGGCTTGATTCCAGTGTAGATATTACTTCTTATACTAGAGCTCTTATTTTGGTAGAAGAGCTACAAAGGAGAGCCCCTGAGGGGCACTTGCTTCCACTCTGGAAGCACCACTTTGAAAAACAGTTTGGTATCACCTTCTAGGGTTAAAGATGCATTGTTCAACTCAACAGCTCTAATCCTAGTAATATATCAAGGTCTGGAGCAATATTTCTCAATTTTTTGTCCACATTTCCCATAAAATAATTTTATTTTATATTATATTTGTTTTTTATTGAGATAACACTGGTTAACAACACTGTATATGATTCAGAGACACAGATTCACACCCTTTTGAATACACTATCTTACCCAGCAACCGCCAAAGCACCCATAATGCTCCATGATAGTGTGGCCCCAAAGCATCTTTCTCTCTCCCATCTGTCTCTGTGTACCTTCAGTATTTGGAGAATGGGAGGGTTAGCACAGTCTCTTCATGACCGTCTACCTCTCTGTCGTGATTATAAAAACAACCAGCTAAGAAAGAAATAAGACCAGTTTTTTTTTTTCTTATTGAAGCCCCTGATTCATGTGCAAACATTTTTGAAGCCTCTACATATTTGGAAAGCAGTGTTTTTTTTTAAAGAAAATAGAAAACTTACACTCACTTTTTAAGTTAGAAATAGGTGGGCACTGACAGTGGGCAGATTGTAAAAATATATATTGATAGAGGTTTGAACCTCTAACCACTGGAGCAAATAGAAAGATGTAAACATCTATAAGTAAACATAAGTTGGAAAAAAAATACACACCATAACAAATGCTAAAAGATACATTTCAAACCCCCACCCCCTTTATATTAGGAGCACTTAACAGATGTATTTGGGGACAAAGAGGTCAAGAATGTGGAAGAGATGGCTATTATAAGGAACAGTGGAAGAGAAAACCTGAGAGATCTGCCTCCTAAATCCTTTCCACCACTGTTCTCTTGGTATTGGTTTTAGTTAATCAGTCTTCTTTACCACTTAACTACCTTTTATTCTTCCATCGAACTGGCATGAGAGAGAGAGAGAGAGAGAGAGAGAGAGAATGTGGCAGGATGGCCTTTGGCCATGTGTGTCAGGCTGCTCTGCTCTGACCCAGGTAAAACAAACTTACTAATTTAACTAGAAATATAATTATTTTCCCAGCTCCTATGCTTTTGCTCTTTCAGCAATGTAGTTGTTAGTGTTGAATGTTAAGATATTGTTGTACAATCATGCATAAAGAGTTAAGGAGCTGTTGTCTCTTTTCATTAGCACAGTCAGTTTGCTCCCTCATTCACTGGTTCATTGGGTCTGTACTTCCCTAGTTAAACAGAAAGTACAGAAATTCCTGATAACCTTGATTTGCTTTCTTTTTCTATACCAGCCATGCAATGATGGACCTACTGGTTGAACTTTGCCTTCAGAACCACTTGAATCCATCTCACCATACCCTTGAGATCTGGTCTTCAGAAACTGAAAAACCTTTGAGTTTTAAGCCAAATACTTTAGTTGGGATGCTGGATGTGCACACTGCATTTCTGAAAGAAAAAGTTCCCGAAGAGAAGATGAAGACCAGCCTACCTAAGGTGCCTGAGGTCAGTGCGATGGGGGACTTTTGTCATCTAAGAAGAGAGGCAAGAGCCCTGTGGCTCAGGTGCTATAGGTGGTAAGGAGAGGGCTGTTGGAGCTCCCCTTATCTGAGTAATAAATGCATAGAGCTGTGCTTGAGGTTTCTGCTGTTGCCCATGCTACCCTATTGGAGTAGATATATAGGTTCCAGGTTAGGAGCTGTCCTTCTAACTATCAGGACATTTAGAAGATTTGAACATTAAGGGGTGGGGGGAGTGGGAGGAGAAATGAGGAGAGGGGAGGGACAATTTCCCTTCTGAAAAACTGAATTCAGAAAATTTTACTCTAAACAATTGGAGAATATCTTAATCATACACATAGGTTTATTTCACAGGCTTTTGATTATTGTTTAAAATAAAAAGTTAGGGCCTCCCCGGTGGCGCAGTGGTTGAGCGCTGGGTTGCGAGGCTGCCCGCGGCCTCTGCAGCGCTGGTTCGATCCCCGGCTGCTCCCCGGCCACCTGGCGCGGGTCCCACATGGCGTGCAGACCTCTCCTGCCGCCCGCTGCTCCCCTCAGCAGTGTACTTCGGTCCTTCTGCCTGCTCTGCTCCCCGCTCGGGCTCTGGTGAATTCTCTCACCCTCCCGCGCTTCTGACTGTACCCAGTGCTTGTATAAACAAAACAAACAAATAAATAAATAAATAAATAAATAACGCCTCTATTAAAAAAAAATAAAATAAAATAAAAAGTTAAGTATCTTTTTATTGTACATTTTAACAAGTCTCTGATATGGCTCTTTTAATTCCAAATAAAAGTAAAAGCATTCTTTAGACTCTTGTATTATCTATTAAATTTACATGCATTTAAAAATGGCAAAGCCTTCCCCGGTGGTACAGACGGTTGATCTCAGTGCTGTGAAGCTGTCTGCAGCCTCTGCAGTGCTGTTTCAATCCCCGCTGGCCGTGGAGATAACCCACATGGCAAGCAGACCTCTCTTGTCTCTTCCGCTGCTTCCCTCAGCAGTGTATTTTGGTCAGTCTGCCTGTTCTGTTCCCCACTCTGTCTCTGGTGAATCCTCTCACCCTCTCACACATCTGCCTATACCCCACTTTTGGTATAAATAAATAAATCTTTAAAAAAAAAGAAATCTTAAAAATAAATAAAAATAAAAATGGCAATTTGGCCATTAGTCCATTTCCTGTGAATTTTTAGGTTTAGGTGCTTAGTAAGTTTTAATTGGTGCTATTTGCATCCTGAAAGAGCTTTCCCTAATTCTTCAACGAAATCAGTGTTCAAGGAAGAGAAATCCTGTTGGTAGGCTGTGCCTTCTCTGACCGTACTGGCCCCCAGGGGCAGGAGAACCCAGAGTTATGCATGAGTCTGGCTTGAGAAGCATGGAATAGGGGTGTGGGTTCCATTTTCCTCCTACAATTCGTCAGACCCTACTCTCAGACTGCAAAGTCTGCTTCATCTGCTCTTTTATTCATGTCCACTCTGTCCTCTTGTTTCTCAGAACACAGTGAGTAACCAGAAACCAAATAAAAGCTGAATGCATGAAACTTTGCATATTAATCTTCTTATGTGCCATTTTATCTGTAGTCATTGGAATAAGTTTTAGTCACATTGGCTATTTTTCTTTCTGATTATCATGTCCATTGTTATGTCAATTATTTTTTTATGTCCATTGGATGTCTGTGTATTTTTCTCACTTAAAATGTTTTATGTATAATATGTATATATATACATATGTATATACACTATATGTATTTCAATAGATATTAATATATGTATATGGATATTTTGGCTTCTTAAACAATATTTTAATTTGTTTTATGAGGACCTTTTTAAAATAAATTTCCCCATGAAATAAGCAGAAAAATTAGGTCAAAATAAAGGGAACTTTGACTTAAGCCATGTGTGAGGGTTTTTCTTTAAATTGAATTGTTCATAGTACTTCCAAATTAATTTCCTTCAGAAAATGTATTTAAGTGCCTGGTGTTCAAGTCTGGCTAGAATCCTTGAAAGACAGTGTATGTAAAGTGAGAGGCTACTTAAATTTCTATTCTCCTGTGTGCTTAGCAGTTTATTCATTAGTAAGAGAGATTCTAAGGTTCATTTATTATTCCACACAATTATAGCTCACCACAGTCATGCATCACTTAGCAATAGAAACATTTTCTGAGAAATGTGTTTCTAGGTGATTTTATTATTATGCCAAAGTCATAGAGAGATATTAAAAAAACAAAAAACAAAAAACATAGTACAGCCTTTGGGGACCAATGTCCTCTATGTGGTCAATCATTGAATGGAATGTCATTAAGTGATACATAACTGTTTAGTGTGGCATGACACACAAAATCTGTGGAAGAAAGATTCAGGATACACAGAATCTTCCCATACTCAATTCTGGTATGAAAACAAAGTTGAAACCATGGTGGGAAGATGTCTTACAAAATTCTTTGTGACTGCTATGTTGTTCTAGAAATCTGTGCTTTTGATAGTGAATTACCTGCGAACACAAAAAGCTGTCATGCGTGTGAGCCCCAACGTGCCACTCCAGAGCATTCTCCCAGCCATCTGTGCAAAGTGCGAGGTCAGTACTGAGCATGTGATCCTCCTGAGAGACAACGTCACCTGGGAGGAGCTGGAACTCTCCAAGTCCCTGAACGATCTGGGCATCAAGGAGCTCTACGCCTGGGACAATAAGCGAGGTGAGGAGTACCCTCAAAAGAATGACTGGACACCTCACTTCTCAGAGCTTCATGCTCTATACTGTATGATGGAGACTTACTGAATTTTCAGGCTACTTAAATTTTGTTCAAACCAAGAGGAAATGAACATAAAATGAATTGTTTGTTCCCCTTGACTGTAATTATGCCTCCCCAATCTCTAAATATGTCCTCTATTCCTTTCTCATATAAGCCTTAATAAGAGAAATAAAAGCAGAGAAAAGTAAAAAGAAAATTGGAGCTGAAAGCTAAAAATAAAACTACCCTGAAACCACATATAAACAATATTCTCTTGGTTTTCCTTTGCAGTTGCCTTTAACTACTCCCATTACCAAACATTGCTCATAATTGTCCAGTCCCACATTCACTTCCCTTTCATCTTCCCAATGGCAAAAATGTGTTTATTTGTTTTCTAAAATTCACCAAATTATAGTTCAGTTGGTCAATGCAACTCGTATGTTTCCTCACCATTAGTGCTAGAGGACATCTCACTCCTGGTATGAATTTGGTACCAGTCTGAGGTCACAGAGACCTGGATGAGCAGGGCTGCCAGAGAGGCTTGTGTTGGGACAAACACTGATATGTGTGGAGGCAGATTTCCCTGATTGACCGCAAAGATGATTGTATTATATAACTGTCACTGAAAAAAAAAAATCAATAGTCCTTGCCATTAGAATTATTAGAATGAAGAGCATAAAAGTTTTTATTTCGATGAGCCTCTCTTGATATCTGTTGCCTTTTTTGTCTATTCTGCAAATATGGAATAGGTTGGGTTTTTGAACTCTATACAAGGTTTTCAACAGTATTTTTTTTCAAATTCTTCCAATAAAAATTTATTCTTATTACCAAATTTACTGTGAAATCTGTGATCATAGTGGAAATTCCTTTACCCCCAAAATCTCCTCCTGGAGATTCTGCACCTCAGGTCTCACTTGATTCTGGGCCCCACACAGGGTTTTGACCTCAAGAGTAACATATCTGATGCTTTATCCAATATGTTTTAATAATAAGTACAAAATAATTTCTCATCTGCTCTGTGGGTCTGGATATAGCAGGTGTGACTGTCTGATTCTTTCAGTCCTGTTTAAATTTTCTGGAACTCTTTGGAAATAGAGGTTTTATTTGACAACCAAAAAAATAAATAAAAGAAGAAGAAAGAAAGAAAGAAAAAGAAATATTGACCCACATTATTTAAGTATGTGGAAGAAAAAGCCTTCTACAAATAAGTATTCCCATCAGATCTATGTATTGTATCTATCTGTTATGTCAGTCATCAGATATATTTTGAAAGGAAAACGTGGAACCTGTTACTGGGAAAGTTTTATCAAACTAACTTCCTTGTTAAGGATGGACTCGCGAAAGCAGCCAGTCAGTCACCTGGAGCTAGGAGCTAGGTGTTCAGTGGGGAAACCTCCTTAAGACTGGAGCCTGCTCTTTGGATCCCCACAGAGTGAGACACACAAGTGTACCCACTCTGGCTTTTCAAATTTGGACCCAGCAGCACTTGGGGAAAGAACTGTGCTCCAGTCCCTAAGTCCTTCTCTCCATTGTCTCAGGACCCCCTTAAGAGGCCTAATCCCTGAAATCCCAGCAGCCTCCCCAGAAGATAAAGGAACCATTTGATATGGCAGACGGACCTTTTCCAGTCCCACATTCACTTCCCTTTCATCTGGACCATGCTGCACCCTGTCAACTGTGAAATAGTTGGTTTTCATCCCTGCCAAATGCCTCCATCCGTTCTGGATGACTGTCAGATATTTGAGAAGTAAAGAGGACATTCTGCAGCAGGTTCCGGGAGCTCTCTCCTGTGCCCCATTTGGCTTATGTTCCTTCCCATGCCAGAAGCCTCTTGTGAAGGGGTGGGGGCCTCTGGCAAAATAGGTTGCTATGTAGAGTCCTTTCCTCTGGAATGCCTGTTGGTGAAGTTTGAAAAAAACAAAAACAAAACAGAAAACTTTACTGCCACCTACTTCCATGGTGACACTTAGCAGCCTTGTAGCTATGAGGCTCTGAATAGTCAAGGCCAGGAATACGGTTCTACTTGGCATTTGGCCTGCTACTGCTTGGGCAAGCACAGCCCCATAGAAGGATTATGAAGAACTGCGACCTTGGCCACGTGTTGCTGTCCCTCACTATCTTATTACCTGCTTTTTTCAGTTCTTCTCACCAAAACCCAGTCGGAACCTTCCTTGAGCCATCGAGGTACCATGAGCCAAGTGCTGCTCCCTTGCCCTGCCCTGTGCATGGCTCTGGGCCAGGGTGATGCATGAAGACTTCTATTTGCTGGACCTGAGGGAGGGGATGTGTGACTTCGGGTACCTCTAGAGGTGCCTGGTGGGGCTGAAATGAACTTGTGGTTTGGTTTATTGGCTTCTGCTTGGCTAGAAGAATATCCCTGTGTGCATTTGCTCTGTGGTTCTAATTGGTAAGGATTGAAGAAGGCCATTGCATAAAACAGGCCCTTTATGAACACAGAATTTCAGGGCAGAGTAGTAATGGTACCTATAGAAGAGGCACCATTTCTTACTTCTGCTTCTCCTTACCTGTGCTCACCTGTGTTTGTCTGCCTTCTACATCTATTCTGCCTGCTGTAGAATTTATGGCAGTGTGGATTTTGAAATTGAACATTTGCTGTCATAAACAATTACATAAATGGTCCAGATTTTTAGTTTTATGATACCTATTTCTTATAAATTATGTGCATATACACATGTGCACGCACACACAGACATGCACACACATACATTGAGATTTTAATGAATCTTTTGGACTGTACTCATATACACACAATCACACACTTATACACACTCACACATTCTCTCCAAAAGGTTCCTTGAAATTCCAATGAGCCCTATACAGGAGAAATTTCTGTCCATATTTTAAAAATTATTTAATAGAGTTTATTTATAGAAAAAAATTAATGAAAGAATATTTGGCATTGATCTGGACTCTCAGACTATGGGTGTGTTGTTTAACAGTGCTGCGGCCTGGGTCACCCTTCCTTTTCCTCATCTATTGTTTATCTACTCATACAGTACATGTGTTATAAATATACCCATTCTGACTTAAGAAGCACTATGTATGGGTAGTCCTTTTCAGCAGAAAATTCACATAATAAAGGCTTTGTCAGTTTTGAAGAATTTGATTTGGAACATAGACAAACCGCGAAGAGCAGAGGAGAATCAGAGGGCCATTGGTCTTATGATGGTGGCCACTACTTAGAACCTGTGCATCCCGAGAGCGCTTGTCTGGTCTTCCTCTTGCAGTCACTTCCTTGGTGACTTTTTTCTCATACCTGAACAACACTTTCACTTTCCCATTCTGGAAAAATGAATGGTTTGGATTAGCTGGTCTTTAAGGGCTCCTATGTCTCCCTCCATCCCTCTGTCCCCCTCAGTCCATCTGTATCATTTTTCAAAACCATTTTAATGCTTCAAAATATTACATGCTGCCTATGCATTAAGCATTACTGCCCCTAAGCTTTCATTAATTTATGTTACATTAAATGAGAGTAAATCAAAGCAATAAATCTCATGCTCAGATTGCCATAATTTCAGCCTTGGGCCCCAGGTCCCATATGTAGTTCTTCAGACCTGACTGTGTGTCAGTGATCAATCCCACACTGGCTACAGGAGGGCACCTGGGAAGTTTTGGCTGCTTCAGATCCTGTGAGAAAACCAAATGCTCAAACGGCTACTTCTGCAATGTCTGCCAAGTCACAGTGTCCTCACAGTAGGCTGCTATTTGTCCGAAGATGCCAAAGCCTGAGCTCTAAAAATAGATCATTGCTTTGGGACCAACTTCGAGCCCATCCAAGGCACTGCTGCCTCCACCTTTGCACCATGGCTGTGTGGAAAGTGCCTCTTGATCACACAGTGCTGGTGCCAGGGCCTCCGGAGCCTTCAGTATTTTAGGGGTGGTGGCTAACCAGGTTTGCTATCAGGTAGAGAAGAAAGAGGCTGGATTCTCTGGAAGTTTTGTAACTTGGTCTTTGGTTCTTGGGGTTGATGTAGTAGCCTCTGTGCTAGAAGCATGTTTCCTCTTGTGTTTACCAGCCAGGTGCTGTGATGTCAGCACTTTGTAATATCTGTGTTTATACTGCACAATTCTGCAGAAAGCATTGGTTATCAGCACACACATTAATGCATGCTATAGTTTGCATAGAGCTTTACTCTGTAGTATAGTGTATCTTAACCTTTATAATCATGCTTAACTGAGGGTTTGACTAACTGTGGAGTCTGTGTACGAGTGTGCATGCCTGGGCACTTGCATCATGACCGAGCAGGTCAGTCACTGGTTTGGATGTCATGTGACATGGAGGCAACTGACTGACCTGACCATAGATGCCTGTTGTAACTGAGGGCCCCAGACCTTGTGATGGAAAATCCAGCTTTTGTCACTTACACAATGATTTTTGTTTTGTGGGGGTAGACAGAATGATTTTGCTTTGTGTTGATGCAAATGTTACTAATTCATTGACGTTTGTGTCTTTTCCTGGTGGGGTTATGAAATCCCTCTTAGAAGGTGAAGTTGATTGACTTTGTCTTGTTTGGGTTAATATCTTGATAGTAATTCGAGAGGTCCCAGTCCAGATTTTTCCACTAGCGGATGGCGATCTGGCACCCCAGCATTAACAGTGGTATGGGGAAATTCACTTTCTGTCAAAGTTAATTACAAAGGCCTCCAGTGGAATGTCAGCAAATCCATGAATCATGGTGATCAATAGTCATGGTACTGATGTGTGCCAGACAATTATGTGACTCATCTCCAATCTGAAGATGAGGAAATTAAGACTTGAAGCAGTGAGGCAGATTATCCTATTATAGCCACCCCCCCATCCCTGTGCACTCATTCCCTTTTCCAACAGGTTTCAGGTGCAGTCCTTGCAGCTTGAGCATCCCCAAGAAGATGGCTAGTCCCTACTCCAGAGTTTCCAGTTGGGACTCTGTGGTGGGCTCAGAGGTGCCACCTTTCACAAGTTCCAGCAGCACTGATGCTGCCAGCCCCTCTGTTCTGGGAACTGCTTGTGGTGGTTGTTAGCTGCTTGACAAATCTGTGCTTCAGAATCACCATCTGGAACATGAGAAGGACCCAGTCTAGCTAACACCTCAAGAAAACACCAAGAAAGGGATGTGGGAGATTTAGAAATCATGAATTATTAAAAGAAGAAAAGGGGTTCCCTAGAAAATATAACTGAAAAGGAGGACATTCTGTCTGGGATGGAGGAAGGGAAGTATTGAGGTGTGGACCATGGAAGGTGTCATCATTATTTCATGAGCCACCTGTGTTCACATGGCTACTCTTCTATGTTCTGGAAATGAGAGTGGGATCTTTCAGCAGAAGGGAATTAGGTAGCATTTTTTGTTTACTGATAATTCCTAAAGCAGATGTTTTGCACAGATGTTGTAGTCCTTGGAGCTGTGCTGTCCACTCTGATAGTCATAATCCACACATGGCTGTGGGCACTTGATACGAAGCCAGTCAAGCTGAAAAGTGTAGCTTTCTGCACACTGCATTTTGAAAACTTAGCACTAAAATGAATGTAAAATATGTAATTCATAATTCTATATCAGTTGCATGAAAAATGATAATACTTTAGATAGGTTAAATATATTACTAAAATTAATTTCACCTTGTTCTTTTTGAGCAAGTATCAGAGAATGTATGTGGTTTACTTTATTTTTCTGTTGGATGACACTGCCTAGAGCTTGTAGATTCTTTGTTATTCTCAAAAAGGGTACAACCACATCCAGAGAAAAATGCCACCATGATCACTAAAGGACTTAAAGACGTTCTTTAAGACATTTAGGGATTTCAAAAATAGGACTGATGACTTTAAGGAGGCTCAATGCTTTGAAAAATATAGTTGACACTTTTATACAAATTAAAATAAAGTTCGAATAGAGGATTCATTTATTGAGATTTTTTTTTTTTTTTGGTGGGACCCTCGCCGGTGGCCAGGGATCGTACTGGCACTGCAGAGGCTGTGGGCAGCCTCGCAACCCTGCGCTTAACCGCTGTGCCACCAGGGGAGGCCCTGAGAATTTTTTAATGAAGTGTTTAATTTCATTTTATGTACCAAAAAATAATTTAATGATTTTTTTCTCCAGAAACCTTTAGAAAGCCATCACTTTGCAATGATGAGGCAGAAAAGGAGAAGAAAAAAATTCTGGGATTTTTCAAAGTTAATAAAAGAAGCAACAGTAAGGTAATTGTTTAGATATATGTTTGATTTTGTATTGTATAAAATTAGTTTTCTGAGATATTTGCACTTAAGCTATCTTGGAATTTTTCAAAATGTATTTAGGTAATGTTAATTCCTTCAGATCAAAGAGAACTTATCAATATACATCAAAATTATTGATTTGCTTCCAGTCTTAATTCCTAAAGCATTTCTCTTGGGTTATGGTGTATCCTCACCAGTATACTATGCTTCAGGTTAATAGGGCCTCCCTGTCCTGCTGGTATACGCAAAGCACCTGGTCTGTGTTTAAGCTCAGTGAAAACCCCCAGGATTGGTGAACCACCATTTTTTAAATCCTATTTATTAATAAAACTAATAACTTCTTTCAGGGCATCCCACCTACAAGTTTGACTGGGCTGTTCTCAATCCTATGGCTGGTTGGACATTTAGCACCAATCAGTTCATAGTCACACCTGATTGGCCCATTCTCTGAGCTGGGCACCAAATACGAAAAGGGGGAGTTGGAGCCTAAACTTATAGGGCAGGCAGGATCTGAGGAACCACAGCCTCAGTGGGATTAGAGGCTCTGCACCAGGTAGGCATTCAGTAGGGTGAGGATAATAACATACATGAGTGGAAAAAGCCTTCAGAAGCTACAAGCAGGCCACTTTGCAGAGAAGCATAGCCATTGTTGAATATGCACATTTACTAGTAATGTTAGATATTCTTGATTCTCCCAAAATGATTTGGGAATAAGCTGCTTGTTAGGTTAATTTTATTGGGCTTGTTGGTTTTTATGAAATAAATCTTAAAGTCATATTTTGCATACAAAAGCACAGAGTAATTTAAAGTCATAGTTAAGAGAGTAAAAGTCAAGATGTTTACCATGATTCATAAAATTTTCAAAACCATAATACCTTCTAATTACCAATAAAAGGAAAAATTTTTCCCTTTTATATTTGTCAAATAGTTACATTTTCCTAATATCTAATGTTTTCTTTTTGTTGGTATATGAGACTAAGAAAGATGAAACTGTTCTGATAGATGGTTGGCTTAAATGCTACCACTCAATTTGGAACTGTCCATAGTATTCAGCTTCTTAACTGATGTACGGAAGGGGGCTGGTATTGTCAGGACTTTGTCTGCTGCAGAGTCTGTATGTGTGCAATAGGCCCTACAAGAGCCTGTGGTGTTAGAACCCCATTCACCCAGGTTCACTGGTGAGCACACTGAAGCAGAGGTTAACCCCAGCCTTGCAGAGCTTCAGACTTGGGCTTTGTAGTTCCAGAGGTCACAGGACCCAGGAGTAAGGCTAGGGTCCAAAAGAAGCTCATAGCTGATCTAGTGCATATGTTTGTCCTTAGGAGGGTCTCAGAAACTCAGCTCATTTTTTAACCTTTCCTAGTACTTTGCTGATAGTTTTATGATTCTTTTTTCTTTACTCTGATAATATGTGCTTTACCCCATGTTTCCAGTGTCCTTTGAAGATCTGTGCTCAATGTGTCTCTTTTATGTCAGGTTCTTTGATACTTCTCCCTCTCATCATCCTTCCTCCACTTCTTTTCTCCCCTTAACACCCACTCTGTCACCATTCCATCTTCATGTGAAACACTTCTGTAAACAATGAAGTGAGATATTACTGTTTATCTTTTGTGGATAGGGACCGGTGAATTGTTTCTGTGTATACCCAATCAATGAGCATTGTGGTGGTAAACTGAAATTTAAAACTAGAAACCCTCAAAACCTAGTGAATTTATTGGTTTTCTGAGCTAGCTCTATCAGCTCAGGCTACTTTTTAACACTGCGTATTTTCGAATCAAAGAGATGTTCTGGGTAAAAAAAGAAAATCTCAATTTTCAAATTAGTGAGCACCTTGGATAGAGGCTGTTTGAGAACAGTTTTCACATCCCTAACCTGAGGAACATGATCATAATTTCAGTGCAAATTCTACTAGAAATGTGACTATGCTGGCATTTTTGCCTAATAATTGCTAAGGATGACTTCTTTGTTTGAACTGACTTTCACCTGGAGATGATCTAGTTGTGTGTGTGCTCTAGGTGGAACAGCTGGGTCTGTCAGGGGTGGACAGTGATGAGGACACCTCCAAGTCAGCCCTGGGCGAAAGCCTGAACGTGAGTATTGAAACCCAGCAGGGTCTTCTGCTGAAGGGGTGGAACTTACATTTTGCATGACTTTCCAGCTTAGTTGGTTTTTGCTTTTTTTGTTTTGATTTTCAACTTATACAGATACACAAAGCCAATACCTGGCTTCTTTTTAACTTGCCCACAGTACATTGGGAAAATATGTAGCATTTTAGTTTCTACTCTGCCCCAGTCAGCAAGATCAGGATTAACTGAAAGTTTACCCTCTAGAACTACTTCCAAAAATTCTCAAGAGCCTTGTAAACCCAGGCCTTCTTTCCCATGCCTATATCTGCCAGTTCTTAAACTCTTTAATTACACTTGGAACCTTTTAAAACTATCTTGTTCACACAGTACACAGTTGAATATAAAACATTTTCCATAATTTCAAATACTTGAAAGAAAATAATTCATAGCATATATCTTAAAATATTTCAATTTTAAATGTATCTGATAAAGTTTGATATGTACATCACTTCTTTAAAAGTACAAAGATAAATTCTTCTATAACAATAAGCAATTTTGCACTTGTGTTCTTTTTCTTGATTTTACATGTCTACGCTATACCATGTACAATTTTATTCTACTCCAGATACATTTTAGGGCCTCCCCTGGTGGTGCAGTGGTTGAGCGCTGGGCTGTGAAGCTGCCCACAGCCTCCACAGCACTGGTTCGATCCCAGCCACCAGCGAGGGTCCCACATGGCGCGACAGACCTCTCCTGCCACGCCCGCTGCTCCCCTCAGCAGTGTATTTTGTCAGTCTACCTGTTCTGTTCCTGGCTCTGGCTCTGGTGAATTCTCTCACCCTCCCACGCTTCTGACTATACCCACTGCTTGTATAAATAAATAAGTAAATCTTAAAAAAAAAAAAGATACATTTTATACTTGAATGTAATGTGATATATGTCTAAATTGATTTTCAAATTTCATTTCATCCTTAAGCTATAAGTAGGAAAATATTCATGTGCATCAAAATTTTTTATAATTGCAAAATAAAACAATATAAATGTGTTACAACTATTCATTTATAATTGCTAAGTATGAAAAATAAATTATTTTGGTAAAGGCATGTTTTAAGAAGGGGTAGTTTTTTCATTTATTTTATATGTCCATTAATGGCCATAACTTAGTGATAAAAATAGAAAAGCTTCAGTGTTATTTCAATTTCATTGATATAAGCCCCAAACCTCCAAGAAATTTCATTTATAAATAAGTACATGAGGATGGAAAAGTCCTGTGATAGTAGTGACTTTCAATTCTTCGAAGCCTTTCCAGTTATTCACATGCTGATCTATCAGAAATTATTTAGAATGGTCATTTATCTGTGTCTGGCTAGGTTCTCATTCAAATTGGTTTAATAGCCAAGATTTAGAAGCCATTTGACAGAGAAAGTGATTTGTTACTCAGTACAGTGAAATTATTGACTTCTGGCGAGGCATAAGAAAAGTTATCAAGATTTACCAATTAATAATCAACTCATTATTCATAAGCATTTTTTAAAATGATGTTTGAAGACATACTTCCTAAAAGAACAATGCAATGAAAACAGGTAAATATCAATAAGATAATAGAGGTAAAAAAGACTTAAATTACAAGGTGTCATATACATGTAAAGGAGTATTACGGTTAGGTCTGACATAGTTATTAAAATTATGTAAGTTGTTTCTAGATAATTAAAAAAGGCCAAAGTGATCAAATTGATACCACATTCTTATTTTTTTTTTGTTATAGTTTTCGGTATCTCAAGTTAGAATTCTGTGCTTCACAGCTATACTGATTCTACTAACATGGTGATCTGGGCTAAAAAATAGCAAAGCTAAAAAAAAAAAAATAGCAAAGCTCACCAATTTCTTTTCTTTTATTAGTATAATTGACATGTAAATTCATATTAGTTTTAGGTATACACTGCAATGATTTGACTTATGTATGAATTATGAAACAATTACTGTAATAATTTAATAAACATCCACCCAAAATGTATTTTTTTAAAAGATCCTTTCATTCATGCATGCAAGAACTGGGGTATAGGCCAGATATGTGGGAGGGTGAGAGGATTCACCAGTGGGCGAGACAGGAGAGTTATGCCGCGCCATGTGGGTAGCTCTTAGGCTGGATTGAACCCACGCTGCAGAGGCTGCAGACAGTTTCACTGTGCTGCACTCAACTGCCTGCTCCACCAGGGGAGGCCCCAAAATATAATTTTGTAATGATGAATGTCATAGGCATTTTCTAAACCTGGTATGTTATCAGTATGATTTGAAGAAATTGAAATATTGCCAGTTTTCATTCATTTTTGCTGAATGAAATTCATATAAACCTAAAAGGCAAAAGTGAGCCATTATTTTCCACGGAAAAAGCCAAGTCAAATTTACTTTTGCTTTAAAAAACTCTAATTATATTTTTTCTTATTTTGGCATATATGTAAACGTGTGATCTCATTTCTGCATATAATAGTATCAGTGTTGAGATGTTGTCAATTCTTCACACATCACTTTAAAAACATGAATTGCCCTGGACTTAATGCAGTTTTTCCCTTTTAATGACTATATTTTATTGCTCTGTGAAAATTAGATCTGACACTGTATAACAACCAGATCTTGTTGGTGAATAAGAACAATTCCAATTTGAAGAACAATTTAATGTATGGTGGGAATGAATACTGCTCTTGAGTCCAGGTGGCCATAGAATCGCTGTGACTCCTCCCATCTGAACCCCAAAAACCTGAGTTAAATCTTGTAATGGTTTAAAAAAAGTTCAGTTGTAATCTTAAATAAGTCTTACTCTACCATAACCACATTGGTGATACTGGGGACAAATCCACAAAAATATCAGTGAAGTTTATGTCATGGAGTGAGTGTTTTGCCTGTGTTTTCTTTTATGTATTTTATCATTTCAGGTCTTACCTTCAAGTCTTTTATCCATTTTGAGTTGATTTTCGTGTGGTGCAAGATAGTGTTATTGCTTTATTCTTTTGCATGTGGCAGTCCAATTTTCCCAACACCATTTATTGAAGAAGCTTTTCTTCTTCTACAGTACATGTATTCCTCTTTTATCATACATTAACTATCCATATATGTGTGGGTTTACTTCTGGGCTCTCAACTCTCTTCCATTTGTTTTTGTATCTGTTTTTGTTCCAGGATATTGCTGTTTTAATTATTATGACTTTATAGTATAGTAAGACTTGAAATATTGATGTAGTAAGGAAATCATTGATAAATTTGACAAGGGAAAAAAGCTTTCTAGAATTATAAAAGAAAAATAAAAATATTATAGGTAAAGTAAAATTCCAAATGACAAATGTAGGAGGAAGTCTTTTGGAAATAGAAATAGACAACTTGGTCTATATAGATATGAATAGAAAGCACACAGGAAAAGAAATGAAAGAGGTACATAAATAAATGAAAAATGCTCAGATTTACTAGTAATTTATAATGAGAAATATAGATTAGGCCTACAATGAACTTCCATTTATCATACATTCTATTTGCAAAAATTTGTTAAAAATTTTGTCACTATACACTATTGTCCAAGTTATTAGACTCTCATATGCATTGCTGAGCAGAATGCAAAATACTACCAATAGGTATGGTGGGGATTTGGCAGTATCTACCCATATTATATATGTATTTATTCTTTAACCCCCAAATCCTGCTTTCCGAAATCTAACTCAAAAGCCCACTGGCATAAATATAAATGATACATGTGCAAAGCTGTTTATTGCCATATTATTTATATTAGCAAGTGATGGAAGAAACCCAAATGCCCCTCAGTAGGGGGTTGTTAGGATAAGTTTGGGTATATCCAATAGGGAAAGAGGAAGACTGGCATATACTCACACAGACTGCCCTCTAGGAAGAAATTTTTTCATTATTTAAAATTAATTGTGAAGGCATCAAACTAGAAATAAACCATAAAAAGAAGGCAAGGAACTCTACTACCTCATGGAGATTGAAAACCACACTACTGGAAGACCACTGGACTAATGAGGAAATCAAAGAAGAAATTAAAAAAAATTTTGAATTGAATGACAAGGAGGAAACCAATTTCCTAAATTATGGGATGCAGCAAAAGCAGTAATAAGAGGAAAATATATAGCAATAGAGGCTCACATCAAGAAACAAGAAAGAAATAAAAAAAACAACCTAATCTCAAAGCTCAATGAACAAGAAAAAGAACGACAAAAAAAAAAAAAAACCAAAACCAGTAGAAGAAAAGAAATAATAAAAACCAAAGCAGAAATAAATGAAATTGAAACTAAAAAAAAATCCAAAAGATCAATGAAACCAAAAGCTGGTTCTTTGAAAAAATAAATAAAATAGACAAACCCCTAGCCAGGCTCACAAAGGAAAAATGGGAGAAAGCACAAATAAACAGGATCACAAATGAAAGAGGAGAAATCACAATGGACAAAGCAGAAGTAAAAACAATAATCAGAAACTACTATGAACAGCTATATGGAAACAAGTTCAACAAACTAGAGGAGATAGACAAATTCCTACAACTCCACGGTCACCCAAAGCTAGATAAAGAAGAAATAGACCAGTTACAAGCAGCGAAATTGAAATGGTAATCAAAAACCTCCCCAGAAACAAAAGCCCAGGACCTGATGGATTTACAAATGAATTCTACCAAACACTCAGAAAGGAATTAGTGCCTATCCTTCACAAACTCTTCCAAAAAATTGAGAAGGAAGGGATAATACCAAACACGTTGTATGAAGCCAACATTACACTAATACCAAAACCGAACAAGGACAACACAAAAAAAGAAAACTACAGGCCAATCTCCCTAATGAACACTGATGCAAAAATCCTCAATAAAATTTTAGCTATCAGAATCCAACAATGTATCCATAAGATAATTCACCACGACCAGGTAGGATTCATGCCAGGGACACAAGGATGGTTGAACATCTGAAAATCAATCAACGTTATCCAACACATCAACAAAAACAAATATAAAAACTTTATGATAATATCAATAGATGC